AGCTACATTGCCATACTTGAGTCCAGAGCTGCGGGGACAGAATCTGCTAGTTGGTGCTAACTTCGCTTCTGCTGGGGTTGGCATACTTAATGACACTGGAATTCAATTTGTAAGTTTTGCATTATTTTTTATAGCTTTTTTCCACATAATAATTGAGAAATCTTAATGAGATATTTCGGCTCGGTCGGACACGACAAATTATTTCACATAAATATCTTCTTTAATTTTATCGACACATTTTAATTTCAATTTACTCTCATGGATCTAATTAGTCTTTTGAATTCCTAACGGTGGCATATGTATAAATCTATAATTAGTTGGTTACAATATGTTACTTGAAAGGGGAAAAAAATGTCAAAAAGGGAAATTTCTCTAGTTCTTTAGCGTTTATTTTCTTTCTTTAAATTGATTGTTCTTGGTGAAATAGAATTAGAGTTTATAATTTTGAACATTTGGATACATAAACTTTCAATATGTATATACATATCATATCAAGGATCGTGATTTCAAGTTGTATCGTAACTTACAAAAAAAATTTAGTTCAAATCTCATCATTATTTATTTAAAAGAATTTATGTGCTAGACGTTGGACGAATAAATAAATATAATTGATTCTTTGTAGGTAAACATAATTCGGATTCAAAATCAGCTGGACAATTTCAAAGAATACCAGCAGAGAGTGAGTGCACTAATTGGATATGAAGAGAAAGAGAAACTTGTGAAACAAGCACTTGTTCTTATCACATTGGGAGGCAATGATTTTGTCAATAATTATTACCTAGTCCCCAATTCTGCAAGATCTCAGCAATTCACCCTTCAAGAATATGTCCCTTTTCTCATCACTGAATACAAGAAAGTTTTAGAGGTATGCTCTCTCTCTCTCTCTCTCTCTCTCTCTCTCTCTCTGTGTGTGTGTTTGTCATAGAGTATACATAATGATACAAGAAATGACCATATGTTAACAAGTAGAAGTGGTGCAAACCAAAATTAAGCTAAGGGGAGGACGACTTAGGTAGTTGAGACATAATTTGCATAAAATTGAATAAAAAAGGAGAAAGCCCTCCAATCCGAAACCCTTCTTGGTCCACACACCTCCTATCCTCGGTTTTCATGCCAAATCCCGACGAACTTGTCTCTCTTTGGATGGTTCCATGTGTTGGCTAATTGAATCCACAATTGCAATGCACTAAACAAAAATCGAATTTATGTAGTCGGCATCAAATGTGTCGGAATAATACTTAGCTTCTTGTTGTTGTTGTGTCACCCTACTCACTCACAAACACGCACACACACACTCTTGAGTTTTAATGTGCATACTTCTCGAGAGTTATAGTTGTTATACATGTATTGAATAAATGCAGAGACTGTATAGTCTTGGAGCTCGAAGGGTTTTAGTGACAGGCACAGGGCCATTAGGATGTGTGCCAGCAGAATTGGCAATTCACAGTACGAGAGGGGAATGTGCAGAGGAATTGCAACTTGCTGCATCTCTTTTCAATCCACAATTGGTTCAGATGATTGATCAACTCAACACCCAAATAGGCCACACTGCCTTCATTGCAGCCAACACCAATCAAATGAACATGGATTTTGTCTCAAATCCTCGCGCTTTTGGTATATATATTTGTCAACTTCATATCTCTATTTTCTGCTGTTCGAAAAAATCTGCTTTCGTCAACCTCAACTTATTATTCGAGTAGAAAATCTGTCTGCAACCTTTGAAAAGAAGCAAATTAGTCATCAACCTTTCGTTATAGTCGTCCAACAAAAAGTTTGTTATCTTAATACTTACTTATCTAGTTATGGTTATAAGTAAACATCTCATCAAATTAACAACTAACTTATTTAGAAAATATCCTTTACTATAAAGTAGAAAAAAGTAATAACAGTGTATATCGAACATGATCTTATTTATTAAGTCAAATCCCACATTGATTAAAGATGAAAACATAGATCAATTTATAGGGTTTGGATCACTCATCTTAATGAAGTTTACCCTTTAAAGATTGAACCTCAAGTTTTAATATAGTATCAAAGTTCATTAAATTTCAACGAGCAATTCGATCTGAATAAGACTCAAAAAAATGAGCCACCATCTTGATAAAATCCCACATTGATTAAATATGAAAACATAGACCAATTTATAAACCCTTATAATTCAATAATAATGCCAACAATTTTGAATTATGTGGCATGCAGGATTTACAACATCAAAGATAGCTTGTTGCGGACAAGGACCTTATAACGGCATAGGCCTTTGCACACCTTTATCAAATTTGTGCCCAAATAGAGATGAATATGTGTTTTGGGACCCTTTTCATCCATCTGAGAGGGCTAATAGACTCATTGTAGAACAGATCTTGACAGGTACAAACACTTATATGCACCCCATGAACCTCAGTACTATCATGGCTTTGGATTCAAGCAGGGCATGATCTTGCCCTACAAACTAATAAACATTTGGTAGCATAAAATCTTTGCTCCCAAATGTGACCTAAATTTTTTTCAGTTTCTTGATATTGTAACTGTATTTTCAAAGCATTGTTGAAGTTTCTTGATAGTCGCGTGTCTGTATTTCGTAATGAGTGCACTAAGTGTGTGTGTTTGTCATAGAGTATACATAATGATACAAGAAATGACCATATGTTAACAAGTAGAAGTGGTGCAAACCAAAATTAAGCTAAGGGGAGGACGACTTAGGTAGTTGAGACATAATTTGCATAAAATTGAATAAAAAAGGAGAAAGCCCTCCAATCCGAAACCCTTCTTGGTCCACACACCTCCTATCCTCGGTTTTCATGCCAAATCCCGACGAACTTGTCTCTCTTTGGATGGTTCCATGTGTTGGCTAATTGAATCCACAATTGCAATGCACTAAACAAAAATCGAATTTATGTAGTCGGCGTCAAATGTGTCGGAATAATACTTAGCTTCTTGTTGTTGTTGTGTCACCCTACTCACTCACAAACACGCACACACACACTCTTGAGTTTTAATGTGCATACTTCTCGAGAGTTATAGTTGTTATACATGTATTGAATAAATGCAGAGACTGTATAGTCTTGGAGCTCGAAGGGTTTTAGTGACAGGCACAGGACCATTAGGATGTGTGCCAGCAGAATTGGCAATTCACAGTACGAGAGGGGAATGTGCAGAGGAATTGCAACTTGCTGCATCTCTTTTCAATCCACAATTGGTTCAGATGATTGATCAACTCAACACCCAAATAGGCCACACTGCCTTCATTGCAGCCAACACCAATCAAATGAACATGGATTTTGTCTCAAATCCTCGCGCTTTTGGTATATATATTTGTCAACTTCATATCTCTATTTTCTGCTGTACGAAAAAATCTGCTTTCGTCAACCTCAACTTATTATTCGAGTAGAAAATCTGTCTGCAACCTTTGAAAAGAAGCAAATTAGTCATCAACCTTTCGTTATAGTCGTCCAACAAAAAGTTTGTTATCTTAATACTTACTTATCTAGTTATGGTTATAAGTAAACATCTCATCAAATTAACAACTAACTTATTTAGAAAATATCCTTTACTATAAAGTAGAAAAAAGTAATAACAGTGTATATCGAACATGATCTTATTTATTAAGTCAAATCCCACATTGATTAAAGATGAAAACATAGATCAATTTATAGGGTTTGGATCACTCATCTTAATGAAGTTTACCCTTTAAAGATTGAACCTCAAGTTTTAATATAGTATCAAAGTTCATTAAATTTCAACGAGCAATTCGATC